TTAAAAATGACTTGAGTAGATCCTTTGGTGAAATTGAGTTGAAACCACTTAAAAGTTTTATTATAAACCCCGCAAAACTTTTAATGTCCTCTGTAACCTATGAAATAATTACACATTTAAAGTTAAAAAACAACAAATATTTACGTGGTGTAAGTTTATTGAGAATTAAGGTTTTTTCAAAATTATTATAAGCTTATCATTATAAAAAGAAAACTCCATTAAGCATACTAGTCACGATCTATTCTATGACAGGTAATATTAACCTAGAAATAGTTTTTTATAATTCTATTAGTTGTAATTGGATAAATCTATGCCGTCTTCAGGCGACACAGTTCTTATTGAACCTGAAATGAATCATTAAGCATTGCTATTCCTAGATTTTATTTCAATAAGTTGTATAAATAAAAGTTAACTAGGTAGTTTTTTTGTAGAACTAATATTTGAAGGTCTAACAATTTTTTATTTTTTAAAGCGTTCCCAGCCGTTCTTGGACGTAGTTAATTAGTGTTTTTAAATAAGAAATTCGCACATGTTTACATTTTAACAATTAATTAATTTTGCAGTCCTCGTTATAACAGGAAAGGTCACAACTTTATAGTAAATGTAAATAAAATTACTTCTATAAAGCTTGACATGTCTCTCTATATCTATCTCAATATCGCTATCTCTACCTGAACATCTTTTAGTAATTTTAGTGGTAGGGTCATACTCAAAATGTTGTCAAATACTCAAAATATTAAAGTACTGCTGAAGATACTACTGAAGATGCTATACAGTAGTAGTATAAGTACTACTATACCATATAACTGAAGTGTTGACTCAAGTTTTCTCAATACGCGGGTGGACCCTTTATCTGCATTGAGATATTAATGTATATTAACTCTTTTAATAACAAAGTTCGTTCTTACGTCACTTTGATAAGCTATCCTATCTTTTCGTAATGAAGCTTGTGTTTGATCAGCATATCCTCTTATTTTAAATTAATAATGTGATCTTGTAAAAGAGTGGTGAGTAGAAGAAAAATGTTATTCACTTGCATTCTAATAAATAGAACAGGAAATAAATGTCGGTAAGGATAGACGCGGGAGAGCCATGCTTCGGCGCAACCGGGCCCGTTTGACCGGAGTGATGCCACAGCCTTACTGAAAACTACTGTTAAATAATTCTTTCATTGCTTTTCATCTAGTGAGTAGGACATCCGGATCTTGGGCTCCCTCACTGTGATTCTAGAGAGGATGGTGGGGGCGGGGGACACTCTAAGGGCGCCAATGCACTTGTGACTCTTGACTTGCAGGGTTGACAACTATTGAATGGTAGTCACTAACCTTCAGGTGACCCGTCTGCTCGCTTACCTTACTATAACATAAAAATAGAGAATTAGACAAGTGAATAAAACTTCTTCTCTTGTACTTATAGAATACACTTCCCAGGCCCAAGAATACACTTAACTATAGTTATAGTTTGAATGGTCTTTAGAAAATATGTACGTAGTTTTTTTACCAGTGTTCGTGTCTTGGTCACGGCTTCGAGCAAAAACAGTTAACCTTGAAAAAACTAATGGTCTTACACGTGATTGTTACATATTATGTCGACGTCCGGTTCTATCAAATCACCGCTGCGTCTGTTGAAAACATTAGTTATATTGTTTTCCTTACAATCTATCTATACATGTAAAAATGTTAAGTTGGTTTGTGTACGCTTCAAAAACTCAAACACCTGCACCGATTGAGCTCAAATTTTGACACGATATACAAACCGCTTCAAAGGTTGTTTTATCTATTTCCTCATTCCTCATCAATGCTACCACAATGTATCACAGCGAAGCGTGGCAGGATACAGCTAGTTGCTCAAAAAAATAGCCGATAATTATACATTTAACTACAAATGAAATCTTCACTAAATAATAGCCAAACAAGGTTTTACTGCAAATTATGTATGTAAAGTGTATGTATTGTATTCCTGTAAAATGCATTCACTTCAGCTAAGCTAATTGCTTGTGAGCACTTTGGGTGGGCTTCGAACCCGCAAACACTTGATAGCAAGTCTGATACCTTATTTATCGTGAAATTTGGAATACGTAAAGTGTATATAGGGACATATACTCGTGTGTTGACTTGTGATAGTGCCGAAAGTTATATCATTCAAGACATATTAGTCAGTTAAATTAAAACAAAACCTTCAAGACTGAATATAGTAATGAATTAGGTGTGATTGATTCCCGACCACCAGACAATCCCTAATTCTAATTAAAATACAAAACTTCGTGATTTTAGTCATAACTGGAACACCGTTGTAGTTCTGTTGAACTGCCATTTACGAAAGGATACAGTTACTCAGTAGATCTCCAAACCGTGTTGATAATGTTAAACCTTAAGTTATGACAATAGTCAGACTTACTATGAGCATAAATTGAAATAGTTAATTACGCGTTATTCTGTCAATCAAATCAGTAACGTTAAATAATAGCTATAGTACCTAACAGGTATCCCGGTAGCGTAACTTTTTTTTTTTTTTTTTTTTTTCCGTGCGGAAATCCCCTCGGATACCACCTGTCGGTGGCATGTCGGACTCGAACCGACTAAAACCGCACGCCGTCGCCGGGTACTAATAGCCGGGGAACCAGGTATACCCTAGAAAGGAAGTCCCTGGTGCCCCGACATACCTCGGGTCATCTACAGACGAGTAGACGACCCCCCCCGTGTGGGAAACCCATGTTCCCTGTGCTCCCTGGAAGCGAGCGCGCTTCGAAACGCGCTCGCCGCCACCCCGGCCTGCTTCTGCTAGGGTGACAGATGGCCTCACCTGTCACCCCCAGGCCTGCGCTTATGGAGGACGGAGGTCTTTCTGCGACCTCCGGCGCCTGAGTCGCCTGCGGTGCCTGGCCCGTTCCCGGGCCTGGCGGGCCGGGAGAGTCCTAAACCTCTCCCGGTCCCGCTCCGCCGTCTCCTTCGCGAGCATAACTTGCTCGCAGAAGGAGACGGCAGAGTTCCACGCACTCTCGCTCCGCACGATAGCCGCAATCAGGCTATCGAGCGAGAGAACTCCCACTCCGATGGCCGCCACGAGGCGTGTGGAGAGCCGTGTCCACGGTCTGGCCATCGCAGTGGTGGCACTCAGGCGTTGGCTCCTTGCGGATCAGACACAGGTGATCTAAGAAACATCCCTTCCCAGTGATCACCTGCGTCAATCCGTATGAGAGGGTCCCGTGACGCCTCTCGAGCCAATCCTCCATAACGGGTCTTACCGCCGCGATGACGGCGTGCCCGGCGCTCGGTTGCCCGAGTCGTTCCCTCCACTCCCCTAACCCGGTAGCGTACCTAAGAACAATGAAGTAATAGGGTAGACGACAGTCAAGTCAAATAAGTCTCTTTTAATTAAACTTCAAAATGATAGACGCGGTACATTTTTGTATGAAATACTATGGCGTGACGTCATACTTAGCTATATATAGCTAATAGCTAAGTATGTGGATTTTAAGATACAAAAACAATACCAACATTAAATTGATAACGGAGGACAAATCAGGCTATACTTAAAGATGTTATTTTAGATTTAATGATTCAGGCGATAATATTTATTTTAAATCTACCCTATTGTGGTTCAACAAAAAAGAAAAATTGTTTCCAACTGTACTTAAGTACTTGTAAATTGTTGTACAGATATCATCAGTGGAGTCGGTAATTTAGACGATTCTAGATGTTTATTACTATGACTAACCATTTAAATCCTTGATGACGACCCACACTATTGCAATCGGCACTCATTGACGTTTAAAAATTGGTTTTATTTTATGCAGTGTAATTTGTACCCTATGCCATTGTGTGTTAAGTGACAATGGAACTCAATTTTTGAAATTTAAGCAGTAACGTTATTGTCATTTTGACGAATAACGCGCAATGGCAATGGCAATTATCATTTTATACCGGTAGTCAAGTGACTGTGAGAAAATAACAATGTACTTAACTAAACATGACTATATTCAAATACAAAATATGTATACTTATTTGTTATATTACAACTTATAAGTGATTCTATAAATAGTTTCATTTCAACTTTAATAATAATTATTTTCATAATTACATTTAATTTCATAATACATATTATTTAAATTTTATGATCCAGTATGATCGTATCCGGTATTTTAATTATAAAATTCATGAAGGATTATTGTTTAGGAATTCTGGTATTTCAATTACTTAACTCGGTGCTGACCAGCAACTGTTGGTAGGATAATAAATTAGTTAGTTACCTTACATGTGGCTAACTACATAAAATTATAGTGAGTCACAAATAAGTGTAGCTAGTAGCTAGTTAATACTGTTCATGGTTGAAGTCAAGGCGATGTTGAAAATCATCTAGATTAGCGTGATATCTTAATGTGTTTTATATTTATAATATTAGATGGAATGAAATGGTATCGTGTTTGATATTTTAAGGCACGAAATATATGTATTAGTTAAAGTAATCAGCTTAATAGTTTATTACATTTCATAGATTTTCAACATTCTTCGGTTTCTAAGTATATCGCGAGAGGTGTTTTGTTCTCAAAGCCCTTGACACCTCATGTTAAACGTCTGACATCTTTAATGGGTCTTTTTTAAGCATAAGTAATAAGTTTTATTTTTTCATAGTCTTTTTTGAGTTATTAGATTGGAAAAGTGAGTAGGGATATGAATATAGAGGCAAATAAACAACAAAGACATTTGTTTTTATCATTAATGTGAATGTTGACAACGTATAGGCTTTTACGAGTACAAATGACAATAACACTTCTTGATTTATTAGAGCTGATATAAAATAACTGTATTTTTAATAAGATTACTTGAATTGAATTCTCGGGTTTTTGGGAAACTCGTATAAAAATCTAGAATATTTATCGTTGCATTCGACTGCTGTTTGGGTTTATTTATTTTATTTCGTAGCAATAGCAATAATCGTTACTATATAGGTGGTATTTTTTAACTATAAAAAAATTATACTATCTTTTTCTTTCTTTTCAGAAGTGGTTTACAAGCAGAGGAGATAAATTCATAAAAATCACTTACGGATTATCGTTCTCAAACTATCTAAATTGATAAGTCAATTAAAATTGCGTACCACATCTAGCGTAGCATTGCGCTGTTGTCGATACGTCATATTGATACCGCGACGTGCCGCGCGCGGTCTTTAAGCTGTCCCTGCAATAGTCTGTGCTTGCCAGAGTCACGTGACTCGGCCGGCACGCCAAGCCACAGCCGTGGATAACCTCGGCCAGAGCCCCCTCCCGGTAAAGAGGCTGCACGAAGCGCTTCAGAGTGCACAAGTGAAGCGGCAGCGGCTTTCCCCTCCGTATCCTGCACCCACCGCGTCACTCCATCCTATTCATCAGCTCGCCGTGCACCAGCACATCAAAGTGCAGCAGAGTATTGTGCAACAGAGCATCGTGCAACAGCATCAGTTGAATCTAGCCCACCAGTCGTTGCAAAACCTGCAGGCGCAACAGAATCTGCAAGCCCAGCAAAGTTTACAGGCAGCGCAGAGTCTTCAAGCAGCTCAAAGCCTGCAAGTAGCACAAAACTCTGCAGCTACGGGTGGCGCAGGCACGCAGCAGCCGGCAGGAGCGACACAAGGCGCGCTGGTGCCGCCGCAGCAGCCATCGCCGCGGCCAGCTTCCCCTCAACACAAGAATATGGAGCTCGCGCTCTGCCAAAGCATGGACTCCGTCAACACCGCAACCACTGAAGAAGAGGTAAGTTGCGTTTAATATTCTCTATTTTGAAAGTTGGTTCGGTGACCACCATTATATTATGCTAATTGATTTACTTCAATTCCAAGCTAACCTTTGTGTTACAAAGCTAGTGGATATAACAATGGAAACTACATATAATTACCAAATATCCGTTTCGAAGAGGACTTAATGTATCGTTTCACTTTAGCTATTAGTCATCTTACAATTGTAAAGTAATACTAAAGGGGCGAGGCTGCGTAGCTCTTACAATGGGGAAAACGTTCGGATACACAATAAGCATTGGCTAACACAATAAAGGAAATTTTCCTCTCGCCAGAGACAGTTTTGAATTGAAAGATTATTTTGATTTCGTACACCATTATATTTTACCTTTACTTTTAGGAACAAAGGATCGTGTATAGTTATGGTATATTTATCGGTCCATTCTAGAAATCTTTTAAAGCCACATCAAGAAACGGCAAAAATCCTTTAAAAAAGTTCAGTTAGGCTCTTACTAAATAAACGACTTACATAAAAATTAAGTTAAATGTCATTAGTACTTAATTAGTACAATAAGATGTAAAATCACAAATCCTAAAGTTATATTATTAGAAGAATAACGACTCTAAAGAAAAAGCGATAAAATCCTTAGCGCAAACTAGGAGGAGGCGACACGACAAGAGAAGTGGGCAGCGGTTGTGTTAGGCAAGACAAATAGAGTAGATGTCGCTTCACCGCTTTCAGCCGCTCTCCTGAATGGAAGGCTTTATAAATAGGTTGTTTTATTTGTTAGTTTATCCCCCTTTTTATGTTTCCATTGAGATTTATTGTAATGATAGATGCTATTTAAATGTATGCCCGATAAAAAGACATTAAACCTGTAAAATATAGTTTGTTTGAAGTATTAGTAGTAGATGTATTTGTCAGACCCATCGTATGATAGCTAGATAATTTCAGAAGCAGTTATATCATACGGGTTGCAGCAATGTGTAATTTCTATTAAAGAAATTTTGAAGTATAATTTAATACTTAGTGAAAGTAAAATATAATTATTATTTACTAATTACTACTACTACGAGTATTACTAACTAAATTGTGCGTTGGAATTCCTTAGAGCATTAGTCGTTATGTGTAACTATGATATTATTACTACCTTTTCTTTTTAATTTACGTCTCTAATAACTTCTAAACATTAGTAGTTGTCATCGACCAAGTACTCACTTAGTTTAATAAATTTAAAAGAGTTGATAATGCTTTTGAAGATTGCAGTGTTTATGTTCTTTTTCGCTAATTTCTTAAGAATCCCAGCATAAAAAATTAAAGATCGTGAGGAATTGACAACCCTGTTTTGAAGTTGAAGTTCAATAATAAGAAAATGAAAAATGTACCCATGGTAATTTTAGATGTACTTTTATTGATATAACGACTAGGGATAAGTAGTCAAACAATCTATAAGTGAGTGTACAAACACAACACAACAAAGTGTTTAAACAAACGAAATTGGTTTCATGTTATACTTGCTTGCATGCGAATGCTTTTCATAATGAGTAAACAAATGAGACAGTGAAAAAAAGCGTATGCTTTTTTTCACTGTCCAGTTTTCATTGTTTAACAAGTTAGTGTTGATTTCCCACTTCGCTTTGATGTGAATCCGACCGAGGAGTGTAGGGGTCACTTTATGGGCCTTTGCTCACATAGCGTGGATGCATTCATTCATGCGATTGAGTATTGCTTGTAGTTTGTTACCTTAACTATGTATGTAAGTGAGCTACAAATGTTTCTGGATTTAGCCTGAAACTTGATTTCGTTAGAAAACTGCTTTTCATTTCAGAAATGTTATTGTAGTTGAATGTGCGATTATCTTCATGTCAGATCTTTTTGAAATGTTTTTTTTTTTTATTTATATTACTGGTTGTATATACGAGTAAATGGTACTCATCGAGAAACCGCATTTTCATGCAGTTTTAGTAAGAAGAGCTAGTAGTCTGGAACCATTTATGTTATATTTTATGTGTAATGTGTTAATACCCTGCTCGTAGTTCACTCTTATTTTATTCTAAATATGTATAAACTTATTCTAAACACATTGCACATGGATCGTATTCAGGAAGTAATTTTTTGTTAGTATTTGCAAAGCCAAAAATACTCAAAAAAACTGTCTCAGTCAATTGCAATCGAGTTTTATATCTTAGCGTGTGTCAGGGGGGGGAGGGGGGGGGAAGGGGTGTGTACGGGAGTTCGTCTGGCAGGCGGCGAGCCGGCAGACACTAGCGGCGCCGTTGAGTCTGCTTCCCGACACCACCACTCTATTCCTGTTTAACAGTTGTTCGTAGCGATCTTAACATTAATAATTATTTAGTAGTTGGACGATATTGATTTTTCGTGAATAGAATCCCAACTTATTTTGTTATAAACCCGTTTTTATATATGTTTTGCGTTTTTTTTTGTCGGTTACGTTACACGGTCTGTCGTGAAGTTTTATGGTCAAGGTGACGGTGGTGATGAGGGGTATAAAAATATGGGGTGCTTTTAATTAAGCCAAACAGCATTGTTTCTGAGGGATAGTAAACCTAAACTTAACGTGAATGAAGCCAGGGACAGTAAATTTAATAGTTTTATTAGTTTATGATACCGTATAAAAATTATTGCGACACATACGCTAGTCATGGCGTTCTGGCAACAATGTAACAAAGCAGAGTTCAGAAACTGTATTATAACATCTGTTCTACCAGTTTGTTACATAATATGTGGTATATAAAACCGTTACATAGTTAAAGCGTAAGTATTTTCTTTCTAAATAATAGAATAATAACATAACGTCAACTTTATCGATATCTGTCAACGAAGTCGCATCTCTCACAACACGAATACATAGAGCAAACAATCTTCAAAGAAATGAAGAAAAAAATTATAGAGTTTTGTAAGCACGATGAATGTATCGACCCATCGTCGTCGAGGTATCCGGCGTGATCGTATGACAAGTCCGATGATACGCACCGGTCGTTGGCTATCGGCCCCCACAGACAACACTCCTATGGTTTCTTGAAACCTGTAACTACATTTTGTTCCACGTTTTGTTCTTGAAAGTTAGTGACAATTTTATCGCTATTTTAAACAATTTTTGTTTTTGGTTTGAGTTCCAAATTCATGTTTCATGTTTCTCTGGACGTTTATTCATGTTGCTACGAGTATGTCAATGTAGACATGTATTTCATACATTTATGTAGAAAAGAAAATACGTAATGCAGTAAAATACTACCAAAATACTTACAATATAATTGACTACTTGCCTCCATGACTTTGTGTTCATATACGTCTTTAACTTTTATTTGTTAAAAGTCCTCGTAAACTAGACATATCCGAGATGGCGTATTGCGTACTCCAATCTCTAGGTAAGCAGTACTTATCTGTGTGAGTGCCAACTTCGTTACAATAAATTTAATGAAAAGGACACTCGTAAACATTATTATATTTTGCGTCCACAATTCTCGAGCTAAACAAAAGTGAGGCTTTTCTTGTTCCTACTGGGTTTTGGTTTTACACTGATCAAAGAAATTCGGTCTCTTTTTAAATAATTTTGACAATTTGACTTCTAAATTTAGTTTAAATTTAAGAAATATTTCGTAAACATATTATAATCATCATCAATAGCCTTTATTAGTCCACTGCTGGACATGGGCCTCTCCTTAAAAAGACAGTAAACATATATTTTATTCTTATTACCCAAACACTGATGTATAGCGTAAAATAATAATAAATATTTTTGAGTTTGGGTGGGCAAATTGGAAAGTAAATATAAGGAAAATGTACCGTGTGACATATCCAAGGACTTGTTGTGAGGTTCTCAATTATAATAAATAGATGCAGAAAATGACAATAGACGAAGATTGAAGACCATGATAAATTATTTGGGACGAATGATTTTTTACATGACTTATTAGAATAATCGTATTTAGAATTAGAAGAGCCAATATCTCAGTAGTGATTTGAGAAAATGATTATAGCACAGGTTTCAGTTTACTCGTATTTTATATGTACAGCTTAGTAGACTAAAATACATAAAATGAAAGTAGAGCATATTGAAAGCACGCATGCTTATACGAGTAAGCTGGCACAGTACAGGCAAGTACTTCAGGTAAGGCGATAAGTTCGAACATTCGGTTATAAACAAATATAATATGCTGTTATACTTTGTCGAACTGTGTAACTCAGAATTAAATTGTAAAGTAAGCAATAAAAATAGTTGCACGACTAAAACAAGAAAATTCATATAGACGATATCGGTTTCGTCCTCAAAAATCCTTTAAGTATTTGCAAATAATACGCAGATCGCAGAAACATCTCCATGGGAACTGAAGAGAAAATTATTAGCTCACTCGAGTTCAATCGCGGAGACATTCTCTCTAGCACGATTTTAAAGAAGAATTTCTGCAGAGTGGAATATAGACACCTCGACCGTTTCAACAGTTTGTCCACCTAATTTGTTCGTCGGCGTTCGACTGTAAAAACAAATAGCCGCTCCCGCATTTTCCCTTATAGGACGATAAAGACAGACAAGATATATCCTAACTAAACTGGGAGAAAGGAGGGATAGTTTTCAGAGTTTTGCGTTTACGGGTCGCTTCAATGAGTGATTGGTGTTTACGTTCAAGCTTTTGTTTGGTTCAGTTGGAATATTGTTTGCCGGTCGTTGCAAAGAGGTTCCTTTGTCCATTAACAGAGTAATAAATTAATCGTGAGCTACTCGTAGAAAACTTTTAATTGAATTTGTTGTTGGATTTTGGCTTTTTGACGGGAGCGTGTTATGGCTTTAAAACAATTTTTAGGTAACGCTTTGAGAAACTTTGGCTTACAAATTTTCATGACGATGCTACTTCAGAGAAGTGTCAAAGTTCGTACAGGTTATTAGGAGCTAAGGTATAAGGATTATTTTAATAGTTAATGTTGATGTCGGTAAGGCAGTGCAAATACTGATGCACACAGATCACAAATATTTTTAAATAGTCTTTAAAAAAATCCATTTATCTGACATTAACATTTATGTATCCGGAATAACAAAGTGAAACAGACATATTATTATTATAGTTTTGTTGCTTTTCAAAATTATCGCCGTGATGATCGATGCACTTTAGCATACGTTGGAACCAATTGTCGTAGCACTTTTTCGATTCTAATTGTGGTATCTCCAAAACGAGCATTTTGAACGCATCAACAGTCGCATGAAGTCTAGTAAAATTATTCCCTTATTCAAATATGGTAATAGATCTGACCCAACTAATAAAACTAAAACTAAATAATAAACTTAAAAAATAAAAACTTAAGACATCTCAGTACTACCAGTTATTAGCAATATTTTTGAAAAAATTATGTATGATCAATTGCAAAGTTTTTTAATAATAATAATTTATTACACAATAGAAAATTTGGTCAAAGGGTCGCTCCACAATTGATACACATTGATATTCTTCACCGAAGAGTTTTATTTTTAAATGTTATAATTACTTTTTAAATATTGTTCTGAAACTGGCCAGTTCCGGATAATAATTAGCAGCCCTCGTATAAATGTAGTCAGCTACATTTTACAACGTCCTAGAAGTTTATAAATCAAGAAAAAAAGGGGTTTATAAATCGGAACACCAGAGTTAGGTCAGTCACAACTGAGTACACTGGATTGACCATGTAAACAGAGACGTTGTACGTTCAATAACTGTTTTCCAA